TTGTAATATTTTTTGTCCGTTTAATTTCAGTTACTGAAGAGGAAATTCCCTTTACCCGAGGGCCAAGCAGTTTTGACGGAGCGGCAACTGAATCAGTACACTCGTGAATACCTTCAAATACTTATCAAGAAAAAATTGCTGGTAAGGTTTATGGTTGTGGGGCGCTGCTACCTAATGGTTGGCGCTGGACTCCGGAACGGGCGGTGCGTGTCCCACTCACTGCGTTGTGTTCTTTGGCAATACACTTTTCAGCCATCTACCTAAGTGTATAAATGGATAGCGGCAAAATTATGCCGGGGAGAAGGTTGGGCCGGGTAACCCCGCGATGAATTAGCACCCCATCCGAGGGTAGAGTAAAATGATTCCTAGTCGTTTAATGTTCCAAAACCCGGGATACGATGCAATGGTACAGGCCACTTGGCCTAGTTCCATAGTATGTGCACTCAGTTTGTTCAGTAGGTAACGAATTTGAGAAAAAAGGAGACACGTGCAATCGCATAACGAAAAAACGTTCCTATTGTTGCCACTATTTTCAATAATCGTTCACATCACATTTTTTTTTTTTTCTTTTTCTGGGTTTGTCAATTTTCTTCCATCATCCTGAGCAGTTTCTGGGAACGAGATTTGCGTAGCACGTGATTAATAGACCTGAAGAGTCTGTTAATGAACTTATGATTGCAATGAATTCATATTAATTCGAGTTCTTACATATTCACAGACCCTTGTCATTACGGATGATGTAGTGAAGATTTACCGGAACTATGTCATCCTATACACACTAAAAGACGTCATCAGGGAGCTGTTCACGTGTGTAATTGGCGTCTAACTATATCAATGTCATGATTCATGTATTCCGTTAGGAGTAGCGAGCGAAATTATGTTCCTATTTATCATACACATCCAGAAAAATATTGGTTCCAGAAAAACAGAAAGGGTGTAGTTATCTATAACATATAAAAGGTCTAAACTATTTATAACTTGTTTAATAATGGTACTCTCTGTGAGAGAAATTCACTTTGAAAATTAATATATTATCTTTAAGTGATTAGTTAAAAGTAATTTGATTGTTAAATAACTTATTAAGCTTCACCAAAGATTGTAAGTATTAAACAATAAAGAAATGTTTGAAAACTTTTAAAAGAAATGACTTATTCTCTGTTTCACTGTACCACCTACGCAGCTGGTGAACTAGAAATCCTTTGAAACATATCTCGCTACAGAAAACACGTTATATCTAGTTTTTTTTTATATATCTAGTTGTGTTTCCTTCGTCATTTAAAGAATTTAATACGGGCAAATTTCCAAAGTGGCGCTGATTGGCAGAGAAATATAAAAGCATAAATCATTACACACGAAAGGGTCAACAGTCTAAGTCACTGAGGCTTCCGTTCACAAATATTCGAAACAATCCCCTGGTATGCATACGCAGAGTAATGACTGGTTCAAATTCACTACAAAAATTGAACATATCATCAAATTAACTGAGTATCTGTAGCATATTAAAACTGGAGTCCATAATCATTTTATACAACCCAGTCACCTTAAGTCAACTGAGTACAAGATTCCGAAAGCATTCACGAATGAAACTGTTGAACACAGGCTGTGAAACGGAAACTGGCAATGGGTAAATATATAGACTGACTGAATGAAGAATTCAACTTACTCAATTGGCTTTCACGATCCAATGGCCAAACTGTTGTGAAGTCTTGAAATGACATCAGGAAGGGTTAATATGCAAGAACACATTTAGATTGACGTTGGAAATGTCTTTCGACTTCTTGCTTTTGATTCCTGAATATAAACAGTATCGAAACTAAGCAAAATCCAATTGGAGTTTAATTTTGTTTGGTTCTTAACAGAATAATTTTCGGTTGATTGTACAAAACTGACTAGTTTGCTCGCTATTTCGCCCTTTGGACGATTCAGTGAATAAATCACAAGAAGTAAGTGGAAAACATTCTCTAAAGTCGCGAAAAAGGATCATCAGTGTAAAGTAGGAAAACCAGTTTCCGTTCATAGTGATCTTAAATAGAAAGGTAACTTAACCCGCAAATCAGCAGTCAATGGTTTCAGAGAATATAAATCCAACTTGTACTGAGATGAATGACCCTTGTCATTACGGATGATGTCAGTTAACGGAGATATGTCATCCTATACACACTACAAGACGTCATCAGTGAGGTGTTCAAGTGTGTAAATAGTGAGGATTTACACAAAACTACGTAATCTTCTACACACTACATGACGTCATCAGTGAAGCGAGCATGTTATATGTGTCCCTAAAGTCGACTATCGCCATGAACTCTGGGAGGATCTTGGAGTGGCAAGCTAAATTATATATATTTACCAATTATTCCACGAGCGCGCGTTGGATACAAGATGGTAGATAGCCAACGAGGCGCACCTCATATCCAATAAGCGCGAGTGGAAAACACCCCAAAATACGGAAAACTTACAAAAATAAAATAAAAATCTAAACGCCCCAAAAAAACCCGCGTACGCGTACCATATTTGTAGAGCATTGATGACTAAGCTACTGAAAATTCTTGAATTGCATTGTCCAACAATACAGTTTCTTTTCTATATATTGTATGCATCGTAATATCGGCTCCTAGTAGCGAAAGATGATTTATTAATAGAGGAAAATTATATCCGTCAGTTATTCTCAGGGTTTATCCGTGTATCGTGATCTAATCAGAATTAGTATCACCCAACTAGTGGACTAATGCAAATCCTGCATTTTAATTGGCTACGCTACTAGAGGACTATTAGTAATAGTCCTCGAGTANCCCGTAGCCCGCAAGGGCTACGGGTCTAATTGTGATTGGCCAGTTCTCTCCATGAGATGCGCCTACAGGGAATCATGGTAGTTCTATTCATTATTTTGGACTGAATATTTGTTTTGATGAATACAACAGCCATGATTCCATGCAGGCGCGTCGCAGAGGGAATTGGCCATAGATAAACAATAGCCTCCATTTGGCGCGAAAATATGCCAGGATATTTGTCCGCGGACATTGCCTATTCCGAGAAGCGAACAGTTTTTCGAGAGCGTAGCTCGAGGAAAAATGTGAGCTTCGAGGAACAGATAATGTCCAAGGGCAAACATCCGAGCATATTTTGGTCCAAATGGAGGCTATTGTGTTTATTATTCTTCAAATCTTTTTCGCAACGAGCGCAGTTTTGAAAATAGGGGAATATTGTCGGATATGGGAATATTCTCGCACGTGTGGAGACCAATCGCGCGCGAACGAAAATATTTGATGGATTATAATGTTCAGTAACACTGCAAATGTGTTGTTTTCAGTAGCAATGAACGCATGTTAACATTAAGAAACGACTCGATCTCTGTCATAGTAGTGTTTAGAAACAACGAGCATCAATGTCTAAATCGCCCTTTGTAAAACAAGTTTAAAATTGATACGAACTTTCCTTCATTCAGGTTTGCCTTCCATAGCAATTTTCCAGGAAACAAAGTTGATTAACGGTGAAAAACTACATTGAAACATCACTTGTTTACTTTAATAACAATTCGGAACAAAAATTGGTAAGTTCTAAGAATTTGGCAATACGGTGATGAACAAGCCAGTAATATCTTTTAATGTAATCATTATCGTTATCATTGTCGTCGTCATTGTCGTTATCGTCGTCGTCATTATCATCATCATCATCAACGCCAGCACCATCATCATCATAATCACGTTATCAATGTCTGTGATGTTAAAGTTGTTCCCTTTCGTAAAATGGTAGAACTATTTTGAGACCGTAGCCAGACTAAGATAACTTCAAGTTTGGCGACGAACAAAACACAAGCTCGTGTAAACAGCCCCCGTTATTCTTCAGCATGAGTGCATGCTAAATCGTACACAGAAGATAATGCTCAGTGACGTTTTCCCTTGATTTTCCTCCGCAAGGCTGTCCTAGCTTCGCGAATACAGGGAGAAAAAGACTTCGGAATGGTCTATTCGAACACATCCTCGGGTCTTATTAAAATACTAAATTTACATTGACTTAAAACAAATTAGCTAATCACTAGCTGAAAACTTAAAGCCACAAAATGTTCTGAGCACAGCGCAAAAAAAGCACGTTTTAGGGCTTTGAAGTGAAAAGGGTACAGCTATTCGTAAAAACGCATGAACGTAAGTCTTGAATGCGGCTACGGAAGAATGACTAAAAAATTATGATAAACATATATCTCGAATTTACAGCGTGAAACCTACTGAATTAGCGTTTCACTATCCAGTAGTAAACTGTTTTATCCGGTCTGAAAATAAAATCCTTTTCGCACTATGTTCACCAGGGAAAAAAAAAAGCAGTCGCTTCTTCCGCCGCGAAAGGTTAGCATGCACATGTTTGTAGGAAATGACTTTTGAAAAAATATCAGTTGAAGAAGCTTTCCGACTTCCTGCTTTTCATTCGAGACCACGAACAGTATCGAAAGCAATCAAGATCGAATTACATGGATCTGTTTTCGGCTCACTGTCAAAAGCACTTGGGTTGTTAATGCTGTGTAAACCGTTCAAGTCTAAACACAGCATAAGGCTTTGCTAAGCTTTGTAACTGGTTTAAGAAAAACACCTCGCGCGGCGTACCTTAACCAAGTAGAACAAGCATGCTGATTTTTTTTTTCCGCCACGCAACTGATCCGCCTTAAAACCAAACTCATTCGTGATTTAAGTTACGCACACGTTCCTACATTTGGTACTAGGTGGCCCAACAGTTTTAGTAAGTTTGTCTTTACCTATCTGATAGTTTCATTTAATTGTGCAATTTGCACTTTTTGCGATCAGCAAGTTATTCATGTGAGATATTTTTTTTCAAAGATTAGGAGGAATTTCTTCCCGGGGGGGGGACTCCCATAAATTTCGGATAGGTGTGTGCCGCGAAGGGTCTTAAACCCAGACCCTGTTTAAGGATGAATCAAACGAAAATTGATACCCTGTTTAAGGCCCAAACCCGAAAAATGACACCCTATGCAAGGGAAGAACAAAAACTCAGAATAGCTTGAACGGGTCAACTTTATTTCGTTTCTGTGTGATACCTGGAAGTCAACATCAAGCATATTATGGTAGATTAAGCCTACTTTAATAATATGCCATCATAAACATGGTAAATCTTTTCTGATACAATTTAGGCACCCTATCTAAGGATCACACCGGGACACTATGCCAACATGGGCGAAAATGATACCCTATTTAAGGATCGAGAACCTCAAAACACCATACCCTATCCCGCGGCACATACCTATAGAGCCCATACGGGGGAGTACCCCCGAGAATTTCTTAAAGTTGACATAAGTACCTCCATTTGATATGTACAGCAGCAGTTTAGGCGGGAATAAAGGCACATGCGCAATGCGTTCGACAGCTGTTTGGTTCCAAAGGAGAAGCAGCCCGGGAAGACACTAGAGGCGAGGCTGTACCCATTTCTAGAGCCCGCGTTACCCTTAAATATTGCGTCGGTGATAGTGATGGGAGCCTTAAAAACGCAAGGGTTTCGTGTCAGAAAGCCCCCTCTCCCACCCCGCGATCTACAAAATAATTTTAATTGGACATTGTTTGCTTGATCGAATAACAAATTAACTCCAAAAGTTGCACCTTAAGTTAATGACTTTGGGTTAATGATGTCATGCCGGGCTACGTGCATGCGGTTTTTGGAAACCACAAACAAATATACAAACGCGTTACGCTCATTTAAAGCCGAGTTATTTCGCCTCAACCTTGTGGAAAGAAAGAGTTCACGATTTGAAACTTGTTTAATTAAGACAGGATAAGTACAAAACAGCTGGTGAAGACCAAAGCCTAGAATTCTGTTCAGTTTCAAAACATAAGGGAAGAGAAGCTGCCAGTGAGCTTATCGATAAACCAATTAGGTCCATTTTACGTACGACATTGTTTTGAATGGGTTCTAATAAACAGGACACTTGTAAACTGACCTACTTTGAATTCTTGTTCATTCAAGCATAGGACATAATCCGTCGAGATAAATATCGCTCGATACTATGCTTGCCATGCACTCCTACAAATGTTTCCAACTTGTTACAAACAAGATTTCGCTTCTTTTCAACTAGGTAACCTTGTTGAACCTGGCATAAAAATTGACATAACTGAGCTGAAGTCTACTCTGGCTCAATTTCAGTTAATTTAGTTGAGAGAATCGAGTTCTCTAAGTTTGCAAGACCACCCAAACAATATCAGCTAATTTCGAGTTATAATTACCAAATTTCCCGTTCAGTTTCGTCTGGGTATAAGTGTTAACGTTCTGCGAGCTAATATCCAATTGCTTCAAAAGTGCCTTAAAAAATAATGTCACTGAAAAATAGCACTTCTTAACTGCAATTATGACAAAGTTAAATTTAATGTACTTTAAACCTGAATGGCGAAACCCTTCGTAATGCTCTCCACTTTAAATATTTTGCATTGTCCCAATAGTTTTTGGAGAACACTGTCGATCGTGATCGTATTTGACCTAGGGATTAGTGATACGTGCTGTATTACTATTTTTACCTAAGTCCATAAGTGGGTTACGGACTTCTTGTGGGCCCGATTTGCAATACGAACCACGGCAAACAATACGAAAAAAAACCGGGCTAAACGAAATTTGTGTTAAATTATTCTTTTATTCAATAGTGATTATATATTCAATATATCGAGGAGGGAAATTCTGAAGTTATGTAATATTATCCTGGTGATTATTCAGAATTTGTCACTTTGGTATAAAATACAGAAAAGTGTACCTAATAAAAGTGTATTTATACATAGAAAGTGAAACACTTGGTTAAACAAATATCTCCACTGAACGATAAAACGTGGACGACATTTGAAGCACTTTGTTATATTCCTGAATTCTTGTCTGAGCGTATTCTCCGAAATCTGCACCTGCCTCGATCATAAGAATCGCACTTTTCCAGTTTCCACGTCGGACTGCCGCATGCAGAGGCGTCCAGCCATTAGAATCTTTTACATTCACGTCCGCCCCGTATTGTAAAAGAAGCTGAATGCATTTCAAATCCGCATTTGCTGCAGCGATGTGAAGCAAAGATTGCCCGTTCGGTGTTTGAGAATTCACGTCTAGATCTTGTTCTTCCAGAAGAGCTTTTGCTTCCGCAAAGGCCTTTTCCGTAATGGCGGAAAAGAGTAATGTCTTGGGACTGAACGAGATGCGTTTTCGAGTCCGCGAGCTCTTCCCGCTAAACTCACTGGAGTCCTGCGAGTCCATTGAACTGGAACTCAAGCTGGGACTGTTGTGCGGTGACAGATGATTTCTAGCACTCTCAGCTGGATAAACCCTTCTTCTGCGGATCAAGTTCAGAGGAAAGCTGTGTCTCAAATAAAGTACAACTTTCATTAACATTAAAACCCTCCTCAAGAATCCCTCGTCCACATCTATAACATCAGTGTCGCCTTTGGAAATTATCCGACTCCTTGGCGAAATACCTTGGTGAAATATTCGGTTGTTGTCAGAATCTGTTGAGGTCGTATTAAGCGATCTCCTGTCGGCAGAATTGACCGATGTCTCTGAGCTTTGCGAGTACGTGGAATCGGAGAAAGAATCATACGTTTCTGTCGCTGGACAGCAGTCGGAACTCGATGTTGATATTGTTGCGTGTTTACGCTTATCAAGCGATAAGTGTTCGCTTGTTGACCGACTATTAGCGGTGGTTATGATAGGGTTTTCCACATCGATTTTCTCATTTCCTGTTGGGCTTCGTCTCCATTTGGGTGATAATTTTAAAGAATCCAGTATTCGCTCTACTGTTGACGGTGATTTGTCATTCTTTAGCGTCTTTTCCATCATAACACGGTTTTGACCAACAACGCCATTTAAAACAGCTGGTTTTACAGGGCCTTTATTAGCGGCTGGCAAAGAGAAACGAGTCCCATATGATCTATACCTCGCATCTGTATCACCACAGGGCAGACTTTCGTTGGTCATCTTGTACTGTTTATAAAAGAACCGTCTCAATCGCTCTTGTTCCTTTATTGTTGTTAACCTTTTGTGGTCGCCAGTAAAAGTTGTCTGGGTAAATATCCTTTGTGCTGACTTCCTACGCGCGGATGTACAAAGTAACGAAAGTGATTTGGGACTTTTCTGTCCTCACGAACATGTAGAAAATGTAATCACGTGTCAGAGATAACTGTGATTGCTAAGAAACTGCTTTTTATCAGACAAAAGCCTGTCGAGTCTCGCCTGCTTTGCTCCTCAAGTGTATGCATGCTGATGTAAACGTACCTGCTTGAAATTAAAATTTAATAAGACTTTGCAATCAATCAAGCGCGTAAACAGAGCCAATTGAATCCATTTGCATGTAAACGGTATTGTTATAATCCTATTGTTTCCCTTTGTGCTTCGTTTCCAAAGCGGTTTACAAAAAGACGTCATTAGATATACAGCAATTCAATATGACCGAAAGCTGGCGCTGAACAAATTTTCTAATTAGAGCGCGATAAAATCACAAGTAAACAAGTAGAGGTCGAAAGCCTTGAATCTTTCAATGTCAACCCAAACAAAAAGTTTTAGTAAACTTCGCAGTTATCTGATTCGTGATAGGAGAAACGTACCATATTAGCTCAACACATGAAAGATGAAATGCAATGTTCAGGGTTACACCACAATTGATTTTTTTTACTGAACAATTTGCAGTACCTTTTGAACTTTAAAATCATCTTAATCACTTCGTAATTGTATAGGTAACGATGACGTCAGTACGACTGGACTCGAAAAGTTACGGAAGAGTCAGTGAACTCTTGTTCAATTACGAAGCTCGTTCTTGTTACATATCCAGTCTATCCATTGTACTGTTCTTTAAAAACTCTTTAAAGAAGTTAAAAACAAAGTCGACGTTCACACAAACTTAAAGCTACGTTCAAAGCACAATCACAGAAAGTACGTATGGGAGATAAATTCACTGAGTTATATTGTTATATTTCCTTCCTCGTTTTTTCAGCCATTAACTGAAACGCCTAGGGGGTCAAGATTGACGCAAGGAAGCGCGCTAAATGACGTTAAACCTAATTTATGACTATCTAGCAATTGGAAAATGTGTTTTGAAATAACTTGGATGCCAAAAAAATAATCCGGCGGACTACATCTGACGCAACAGAAAGATGAAAAACATTTTAGAAACATTTCCGCATTTCACCCTTAAATCCCGAATTTTTGGCCCCAGAATGCTATTTTTAAAACAGCTGACTCAATAAAGTAACTTGATTTTTAACTGAAGCGATAAGATTACTTGTACAACTTCTCCAAATGTCAAAAAGAAAAAAAATTCTTTTTTTTACACCAGTGCACATCATTGTTCAATCCTTTCTCTTTTAATACTCCATTTCGTTCTCTACTTTGAAAATTGCCTTTTTATTCTCTTATTTTTTCAGCTGGAAAACAGAACCTAGATGAATGACACAAAGTGTTTCTCTCCTACACAATACCAATAAAAAGGTACAAGCTTTTGAACTTTTCGCGTACAATGAATATCCAAATGTTGATGACGTCAAAGTTAGGTCCATTTGCGTCCAAAATGAGGAGATTAGGAGTGTAGGGTTTTATATTTGGAAGATTTAGCACGTCTGGGACAAAGTATGTATCAAACGCCATTGACGCAAACGTGAAAGTATGAAAGACACCTCTTAAGGAAACAACATTTTCACGCCCTGTAACTGACTACAATACTCGAAAACATTTCCTAGTGTGTCCACAAGCAGAAAGTAATTTTTTGTTTACTTTTTCTGTTTTCAATTTTGGTTTTTATTTCTCTTGTTTACAATTTTTAGTTTTAGTTAAATTGTCATACCTTTGAAGTCTCTCGTATCTCGTAGAAAATCAACCAACATTCACGTATTGCCGGAGTAGCCAGACTACTGGATCAGTTCGTAAGACTACTTCCCCACTGAATAATCAACAGTTTATTTTACACATTTGTCATATAAACACTGTAGCAGTCACATAGTAACAGATAAATAAACAAATAATAAGTCTGTAAGGCAGAGCAGAGTATAGTTTTAATATTCATGTTACGATTATCTGAATCAATCAGTCAATCAATCAATCAATCAATCAATCAATCAACATTTTGGAAATATAAATTCCCCAAAAATACAACTTTCACTGCTAAAATACATTGACAACTAAAAGAACCAAGATTCGCTATTAAAATTATTTGAAAATACTCAATATTCTGGTAGTATACATTACATTTACGATGAACATTAATTATAGTAAAAAAATTTAAATTCCTATCGGCTAAGCCCTTGATCTAATCTAATAGCAGTTTAAATTGAATTTTTTTCTTCTGTGTGATTAAACAATTCACTTGACGCATGCAAAAAGACCACTTGGCATGTAAGTAGTTTTCAGTTGTGGCATTTACTAACTACATGTATAGTATCATTTGTAAGCAGCTTCACATCAGCTACAGATTCTAAATTTGAACCCAACCTCAGTCATGCCATAGTGGTTATGCATATGTGTATAAAGGCATGAAATGAGTATGAAATGCTAATGATTTGAAATGCAAGTTTCCATCGTGAATAATAATGTGAGGCGGATTGAAGGTAGATACTGCTCCCACGAAATATTTAGGCAACGGGTAGATTAACCTCATTGGCGCCTGGCTGGGAAATTCTTGGGTGCCATTTTGGCCTGACTGAGAGGAGGAGGGAAACAGGGATGGATGAATGGAGAGTAAAACGGTAATGATTTTAACAATTATTACAAATGTTTTAGGCATGTAAAATGGTTTTCAGGCGTGCGTTAGATTTGAATTGCATTTTATTTGTACGTAACTTGATTTCTGTAATTATTTTGTAATTTTAAGGGGAGTGGATATATCATGAAATGTTATTTTTATTTATTTATTTATTTTTTTGGAGTGTGAAAACCACTGTTATTTTAAGGAGTACAAATGATTTGAGCTGTCATTTAGGTAAGTAAAATGATTGGAGCTGTAAACTTAGGTGACTGAAATGATTAGAAATGTAATTGTTTGGGTGTGAAATTATTTGAACTGCAAATTCTGTGTGTACAATGAATTGAATGGTTCAGCAAGGTGGAGCAGGGGGAGAAAGGATGGCGCAGTGGTGAGAGCGCTTGCCTCCCACCAATGTGGCCTGGGTTTGATTCCAGCCCAGTGCCATATGTGGGTTGAGTTTGTTGTTGGTTCTCTCCTTGCTCTGAGGGTTTTTCTCCAGGTTCTCTGGTTTTCCTCCCTCCACAAAAACAAATATTTCCAAATTCCAATTCAACAAGGATAGAGGACCTGAATAAAAACCACCTGGCCTGATGTGGCTTCCTCTCTTAATATTGTGTGTGGTAAGGGTAAAGCAGCTCTTTTTATATGGCGTGCACAGTTTGTTTTGAAGTTAGAAATTTGTGATGAAATGTATTGTTAATGTGGTTCAAGTTAAATATCAATCAAACAAATATAACTTAGATACCTAAGAGTTATAACTGATGTAGGAGGTTAGCGATTCGCAAAATACAATATGAGCCAGATCGTGGCAGAAAAGGCAATTAAATCTGGGAACTCTGGATTACACGTTCAGTATTCTAATTACTAGCAATGCCACCTCCATAATGTACTGTGTGTGCAAAATGGTCTCATTTGCAATGTTTTGCATAATTGAAATGTTTTACATGACTGTAAATCAGTCTGGATTAAATAAAATATTATAGTATGTACTTCGATCCCCAGTATAGTACGAAATTCATTTATTGTTTTAACAGGGTCCACATCTATAACAGTTTAATAAATTACTGTAGTGTTAACCCTGTATAAATATTTTTTTATCACTATTATAATTGGTTCCCTAGTATAACTCATGATTATATATCATATTGTGAATGAAATAAGCCTGCTTCCAGATTAAACACTTATTGTCATGGTAACACTGATCTTGCAACAAAAACAAGATTTTTAACTTTCTCATAACTTGCCACTTTTGTTATAAACTCAGGTGGACTGAGGGTCCCACCCATAGAAGTGTTTTTATTCTTATACTCCATTAAAGATGGCATGGAATGTCGTGCCGAGCAATGAAACTCCTTAGCACCAGATTCCTGCAGTATACGTTCCAAGTTACGTTCTGTTATACCACCACCTAAGAAAATAATAGGCGACTCTTCACTTTCTTTTGAATTTTTTTTTTTTTTCACAAGCATAGTGCATGGGGGTGCAAACTAGCCAACCCCTATGGTGCTATGCTAAAACAAGCCAACTTTTTGATGTACTAAATTGGCAAAGTTTCAAAAATGGCATGAATTACATTGGGAGAATACAACATATCTAAATAAACAGTTGCTGAGGAAAACATGTTCAACCTCTTTTCCAACTGGTTCTTCAAAACTTTTATTCAGCATAACCCAAGTACAAATGCTGTTAAAGCAAGTCCTCTTCTAAGGACTCACGTTGTCTTTTGGATTGATGGGGGATAACTGTATTTCAACATAATCATTTATCAGCTAGCCAGCAGTAGATTGTTTCACATTCACTTCTATTTAATAACACATCTTACTTACAGAAAGCATCTGAATGTAAGTTATTTGATATAGTTAGTTACTAATAATTAATTAAAAAGGCCCTCCATAAAAAATGTATCATCACCTCAAAATATGTGTTTTCTCAGCTGGTTAATAAAATGTCGTGATAAGGGTCAGTGGCTTAATGGGGAGAGGGTATTTAAAAGTTCTAAAAGGGGCTCATACCTATTAATAAGTGGGAGGGGGAAACTGAACTTTTCTATTCAAATTGACAACTGAACAATAACAGCAATGACTGAAAACTTACCAGGAACAACTATAATCCTGTCTTTTGCCTACATGTACATGAAAAAAAAAGGATCATAAAAAGAAAATCTGAAACTTAATTTAACCCTTCTTAGCCCAAGGAGGGGCAAGGGGAACACAAAGTGTCTTTGCCGAGTAGAATTTTTCTTATAAAAACAGCATTCAAGCCATAGTATTCACTTTGTAACTCTACCTTTGAGACTAGGCCAAGGGAAACCAAATAAGATTGAAATAGCAAGGAAAAAAAACAAATCCAAAAAAGCGGATACTAAATGAGTGAAAAAGAACAAGCAGAAATTCATGAGAAATTATCTTGAGTTCAAAATAATGGGGGGTTCAACTGAAACACATGAAGCCAAGTTTGAACTAATGGGATCCAACTGAATGCTCTAATCTCGTAGCCAAAGAAGATGATTATCTTAATAAGAATTTGAAGTGTTAATGTTTGGTAAAAAGTCAGACAGAATCATAATTGGAGAAACTGATTACGTTTTCTTACTCTCAGTGAATTACAGATACATATAAAATGCTGTTGCATGCTAACACTAACCCACCTTTTCAACCAGTTGTCTTATTGTTGGCAACCCTTCTAGCGCTGAGGAATCTCGGCCACTGGTCAAAACACGCTCAAAACCCAATTTAATAACAATCTCTAGAGTGGTGAAAGGATCCTTAGCCATGTCAAATGCTGCAAACATTGAGAATAAATTGAGCCAGATCTGTCAAAAAAAAATCATACAATGGAATCCTGATTGGGGGTAAAATTACAATGTTTGTTTGAGGAGAGGGAAATGACTTTTGGTTCAAGTTATCAGGAGGTTCAAAAAAATGATGGTTTGAGAAATCGGGATTCCACTGTATTTATAAACTAAGCCACCCAGTGATGTCAAGACTTGTCTAGATAAGCATAAAAAAATAATTCACATTTAGGTTGCAGTCTGTGAATGACATGATAACCTTAGGCTAATGTTTAGTAAACTGGGCTCAGGATTGAATAGAGAAGGTTCACACCCCTGTTACTGGGGTTAAGGTGCTGTGTTCTTGGGCTGGATACTTAAGTTTCACGTTGCATCAACCCATACAGACAAATAAATGAGTATCAACAAATTAAATGTTGGGGGATTAAACCCTGTAATGGACTTGCATCCCATCTGGGGGTGGTGGGAGAGGAGTAGTAATGCATTCATGAATATGTAAACTTTAAGTTGCTTCATGGTATGCTGCCAGCATGATGTGCCACTAGGCTTGAACCTTTAGCCTTTCACCTAGACTGAGGAAACTTTTAACTCATAGCAATCAATCATCATGATAAAAACCAACACTAAGTTTGATAGATATTCAATCATGTACTATGTTCTTGCCTATTAAACATATACTCCCCAGCCGCAGAAACTTGAACATGAAAATTGAATAGCGCTAATTATCAGCACTTTCAAAAAATTGAAAATTGTCCCCAAATAACTGCTCCTAGATAGATCAATGCATACATGTAGCATAAACTAGACCACTTCAACTAAATTATTGCAGTAATAACAAATGAAAAAAGTATAAAATAAATGCATGTACATGTACCTCTATGAAAAGTCGCTGGCAAAGGACTTGCTAAATCTGAAAAAAAAGAAAAAAAATGAAAGTCAATTTAACTAACACTACACATAATTTATAATGGGTCATTTATGGGCCTCTCACTCTCATAAGATGTTTTTTTTTTTTTTTGAGATAGAGAGAGGGAAGGGATGCTGTGCACATTAATAATTTTACTAAACAAGTTAAAAACATACCAACCTTTGAGCTCTTGGCATCTTGTAATGTCCACTGCACCTTCACTTAACAAGAGACAAGAAGAACTGTTTAGTTGAAAAATATGTGAGTTACACTAAGTGGAACTCTGTAAATATGACCATGGATGGAGTACCAAGATATTGATGTACAGCTGTAAAGTGTATATACATTGTGCAAGCATACATGTAAATCTGTTTCCAGTGAATTCTATGCATTACTAACAGCTTCAGAATGACCTGATCAATGACACAGGAGATGGAGAAAAATGCAGATAGGATTAAATAGATGAAACTACACGAGAGCCAGAAGAAGGGAGAAGTCAGGAAATGCCTCTGCAATCTTCTTCATTTATGTAGCATTGCAAGAGTGATGGGATAAAAACACACAACACACTTACAAACCTTGTAAGGATGCCAAACACAACACCACCTGCTCCAGCTTCTTTGAGTATTTTAATTTCTTCCTTCATGACTTCAAATTCTTCTTCAGTGTAAAGGAAGTCACCTCCTCTTGGTCTTATCATCACAAATACTGGAATTCGTGACTTCTGTTTAATAACTTTTAACATTCCTGCAAAAAAGCAAAGTAGCGGTATTAAAATATTAATATGAGGGACAAGCCAGGGAAAATAATAATGGAAAAATATCCATTCCTTGATATCATTTGAAGTTATGGCCTCCCACATGCCAGACAGAGATTATTTCATTGCAAGATCTGATCTTCTTGAAAGAGTGAAGTAATAGCAAGAATAAACATCAATAGGAGGACTAATTAATAATATGGCATATTTTCATTTCCACCCGAGGCTGAAATTAAGGTAATTCCTCTGAAATAAAAGTCACAATAGAGTTTTGTTCAAACTTTGTCCACTGAATATTTGTCATATTGTAACTTCAATTTTGAAATAAAAAAGGGGGGTGCCCATGCTCATTAAGGAGTAGTGAGGCATTGAAAATGCCCTATTTTGGCATTATTTGATGC